AGTAGCCCTCCTCTATACAAATGATAATAGGACTAAGACAGAAATCAGGGAAACATCACACTTTACAATAGCCGCAAATAACATAAAATATCTTGAAGTAACTTTAAACAAACAAGTGAAAGACCTATATGACAAGAACTTTAAGTCGCTAAAGAATGAAACTGAAGAAAATACCAGAAATGGAAGAATCGCTCATGCTGCTGGATAGGTAGGATCAACATAATAAAGATGACAATCTTACAAAAAGCAATCTACAGATTCAATGCAATCCCTATCAAAATCCCAAAACAATTCTCCACAGACCTTGAAAGAACAATACTCAACTTCATATGGAAAAACAAAAACCCAGAATAGCCAAAATAATCCAGTATAATAAAGGAATTTCTGGAGTCATTACCATCCCTGACTTCAAATTCAACTATAAAGCTATAGTAATAAAAATAAAAAAAAGTTTGGCCTCTGCATAAAAAGAGATATATGAACCAATGGAATCAAATCGAATATCCTGACATTAATCCATACACCTATGAAACCTGATTTTTGACAAAGAAACCAAAATGGCACAATGGAAAGTGAAAAGCATCTTTAACAAGCGGTGCTGGCACAACTGGATGTAAACATGTAGAAGACTGAAATAGATCCATATCTATCACCATGCACAAAACTCAAGTCCGAGTGGATCAAGGACTTCAACATATCTAGTTACATTGAGCCTGATAGAAGAGAAAATGGGAAGTATCCTTGAAAACATTGGCAGAGGGATCACTTCCTAAATATAACAACAGTAGCACAGACACTGTGAGCAGCAATCAATAAGTGGAACCTCCTGAAACTGAGAAGCTTCTGTAAGAGAAAGGACATGGTAAATAAGACAAAATGACACCCTATATCACGGGGAAAGATCTTTACTAACCTCACATCTGACAGAGAGCTGATTCCCAAAACAAAGAAAGAACTCAAGAAACTAGACATCAAAATACCAAATAACCCAATTTTAAAATGGGGTGGAGAGCTGATGTGGGAGGTCCATCTGTCTATGTGTTGCTTTATTGATTAATGAATAAAGAAACTGGCTTGTCCTGATAGGGCAGAGAAGAGCTAAGCAGAGAACTCACATCAGAAAAATCTCAAATGGCCAAAAGACATTTAAAGATTTGCTCAACATCCTTAATCATCAGGGAAACACAAATCAAAATGACTCTGAGATACCATCTTACACCTGCCAGAATGGCTAAGATCAAAAATACTGAGGACAGTTTATGTTGGAGAGGTTGTAAAGTCAGGGGAGCAGGCCTCCACTGCTGGTGGGAGAGCAAACTTTTACAGCCACTTTGGAAATCAGTATGACAGTTTCTCAGAAAACTGGGAATCAATCTACCTCAAGACCCAGAGATATCACTCTTGGAAATATACCCAAAGGGTACACAATCACACCTAAAAGGTACTTCTCCAACAATGTTCATAGCAGCATTATTCATAATAGTCAGAACCTGAAACCAACCTAGATGCCCATCAATCGAAGAATGAATAAAGAAAATGTGGTACATTTACACAATGGAGTATTAGCCACTTGCAAAAACAATAACATCATGAAATTTGCAGGCAAATGGGTGGAACTAGAAAAAAACCACCCTGAGTGTGTTACCCAGACTCAGAAAGACAAACACAGTATGTATTCACTCATAAGTGTATATTAGATGTTAAGCAAAGAATAACCAGACTACAATCTGAAGCTCTAGCGAAGCTAGATAACAAGGAGGACTCTAAGAGGGACACGTATATTGCCTTGGGAAGGGGAAATAGATGAGATCTTCTGGGTAAATTGGGGGTGGGGCAATAAAGGAGAGGAAAGGGGGTATTAGGACATGAAGAAACTGGATGGTTGAGTGGGGGAGGGATGGAGTGGGACAGTAATGAAAGAGAGATCTTGATAGAGACACTAAGAGGTTAGGGAGAAACTTGGTACCGGGTAATTTCCCTAGAATCCACAAGGATAATCCCAGCTAAGACTCTTAGCTGTAGTAGACGGGGTACCCAAACTGGCCTTCCCCAGTAATAAGATTGGTGAAGGGCCCAATTATCATCATAGAGTCTTCATCCAGTAACTGATAAAACCAGATATAGAGATTCACAAGCAAGCACCAGACTGAGCTCTGGGAATCCAGTCAAAGAGAGGGAGGAGGAAATATATGAGTGAGAGAGGTCAAGATCATGATGGAGAAATCTACAGATACAATTGAACCAAATTCGTGAAAAATCATAAACTCTATACTGACAGTTGTGGAGCCTCCTTGGAACAAAACGAGGCCCTCCCTATGTGGGAGACAGTGGTGTAGCTTGGACTCTCTGAGGGACCCTTGGTCGTAGGACTGGAATATATCCTTGGTGCATGATATAGCTTGTTGGAGCCCAACCCTCTATGGTGGGATGCCATACTCAGGCTTAATGCAGAGTGGATGAATATGGTTCTGCCCCAACAAAGTGCCAGACTTTGTTGACTCCCTATCAGAGTCCTTGTCCCTTGGAAGGAACAGATGGAAGGTGGGTTTGGGGGGAGGTGAGGTGAGGTGGAAAGAGATTAGGAGGGAGAACTGTGAATGTGATATAGAATAAGATTAAAAACTTAATTAATTAAAAATATATATAAAGACATGAACATTTCAAAAAGAAATTGTACAATCAAATATCCACGTAGTTACACATCCAAAAGAAATGTTTGTATCTGCTTTCCAAACGTGCCATAAAAAGCTTTTAACACATCATTAATTTTAATTTACTTAAGCTTCAAAAATCCTGCATTTTTTAGGAAGAAAATCAAATGGAGATTGTGTCAAATTCATTCATGGGGAGAAAAGTGGTCAATGAGAAAAAGAAAGAATACATCGTTACAATGAAGGACTCCACAATCATAAGATAAATCGAAAAGCCAATTAGAATTTTCATTTGCAAAGGGGCAATAAAATGAAAGGTGGTAAAACTGGCTGAAAAGTAAAGTTGATACAGAGCAATGTCTCTTCTTGAAAAAGAATGAGAGGGTGTCACAGAAACAAGTGATGAATTTTTATTTCTTACCTGATTTGAGTTGCCTATCCATTGTAACATTATTTATTCCATTCAAAACGTTTAAGACTTCCAAATGTTTTTAATTGATTTTTATTGAGCTCTATATTTTTCCCTGCTCCCCTCCCTGCCTCTTCCATCCCCTTTAACCCTCTCCCAAGGTCCCCATGCTCCCAATTTACTTTTACTTCCCATATAGATGAGATCTATGTATGTCTCTCTTAGGGTCCTCTTTATTGTCTAGGTTCTCTGGGATTGTGATTTGTGGGTTGATTTTCTTTGCTTTATGTTTAAAAACCACTTAGGAGTGAGTACATGTGATAATTGTCTTTCTGTGTCTGGATTACCTCACACAAAACAATGTTTTCTAACTCCATCCATTTGCCTGCAAAATTCAAGATGTTGTTATTTTTTTCTTCTGTAGTACTTTATTGTGTAAACGTACCACATTTTCCTTTTCTATTCTTCAGTCTAGGGGCAATTAGGTTGTTTCCAGGTTCTGGCTATCACTATGACAAAAAAAAATGCTGCTATGAACATAGTTGAGCACATGTCCTTGTGGCACAATTGAGCACCCTTTGGATTTATACCATTTGGTATTTCTGGGTCTGGAGGATGGTTGTTTTCTAATTTTCTGAGGAATCATCACACTGACATCCAAAGGGGCTGTACCAGCTTGCATTCCCACCAGCAATGCAGGAGTGTTCCCTTTACCTCCCAACATCTCCAGCATAAATGATCATCACTGTTTTTGATCTTGATCATTCTTACAGGTGTAAGATGGAATCTCAGAGTTGTTTTGATTTGCATTTCTCACGCTTCTATAAAGCAAAGGACATGGTCAACAAGACAAAATGAAAACCTACCATATGGGAAAAGCTCTTCACTAACCCTACATCAGACAGAGGTCTGGTCTCCAAAATATAAAAAGAACTTGAGAAATTCATCATCAACAAAACAAATAATCTAATAAAAATGGAGTACAGACCTAAACAGTGAACACTCAACAGAGGAATCTAAAATGGCTGAAAGACACTTAAGGAAATGTTCACTATCCTTAGTCATCAGAGAGATGCAAATCAAATATCTTTACTACAAGTGCCTCTGACATACACAGGTGGAAGAGCTGGTAGAGAAAGAGATGTGTAGGCAAATCTGAAGTGAGGATTTGGTGTGTTTTAAACAGAGACCTGACCAGTCCATCACTGTGAACATAGCACCATTGTATAGATACTTCATAAGCTACGGATTGTTGTAGAATATTCCTTTACACTGTGTAAATATATGTCAACTGTGTTGAATAAAGATCTGAATGGCCAATCGCAAAGCAGGAAGTGGTTAGACAGTTCCTCTGGGGACAGAGATGTCTCAGGGAAGAAGAAAGTGTCACCTTCAAGATGCTGAGGAAGCAGGACATGCAGGAGAAGAAGGAAAAGCCATGAGCAGCAGGACAGCATGTAGAGTACTAGAAAAAGTTTAATCTAAGATATAAGAGCTAGTAATATACAAGCCTAAGGTAAGGTCAAGCTTTCATAATTAATAACTAATCTCTATGTAATTTTCTTGTGAGATGGTAGCACAAAGAAAAATCTTTCTAAAAAGAACAGACAAGATGTAGACAGACACTCTAACTCACCAAAGACAGCAAGGGCTACCAGAGGACCAGAGGATGACCAAGGGTGCAGTGAAGCTGGTTGTGTCATACCCTTCCCTTTATAAAACGTCTTCCTAGGAGCTACCTGGGAAGAAGAATCAGATTAAACTTTCCAATGTTGCATAGCATTGAGAAGCACTTCCTTATGAAACATAAAGTGAATATAAAAATGGTGTAAACAACATCAAGGAAAAGTATGCTGATTGGTTCAGCCTTGAAGGCCTGACATATAAAAGGTCCAGAATGCAAGAACTCTCCATATTGTAGAAAACTCCTCTGTTGACAGGAACTGTCCAATCACTGCTGACACCATGGCCAACTCCTGCTGCTCTCCTTGCTGCCAGCCTTCCTGCTGCA